TTTGGGATGTTTTTGATTGCTGTTTCAGTCTCTTTCCTTGTGATTGGTCTGTTCAAATTGTCTGCCTCTTCTTGAGTGAGCTTTGGGAGATTGTAGGAGTCCAGGAATTTATCCATTTCCTCTAGGTTATCCATTCTGTTGGCATATAGTTTTTTGTAGTATTCTCTTATAATCTGTTGTATTCCTGCAGAGTCTGTTGTTATTTCTCCTCGCTCATTTCTGATTTTGTTTATTAGAGCTTTTTCCCTTTTTTTCTTTGTAAGTCTGGCTAGTGGTTTGTCAATTTTATTTATCTTCTCAAAACACCAGCTCTTTGTCTCATTGATCCTTTCTACTGCCTTTTTCGTTTCAATAGTATTTATTTCTGCTCTGATTTTTATTATTTCTCTCCTTCTGCTGACTTTGGGCTTCATTTGTTCTTTTTTCTCTAGTTCAGTTAGGTGTGCTTTAAGGTTGCTTATTTGGGATTTTCTTGTTTGTTAAGATGTGCCTGTATTGCGATGAATTTTCCTCTTAATACAGCTTTTGCTGTATCCCATATGAGTTGGTATGGCATACTATCATTTTCATTTGTTTCCAGGTATTTTTTTATTTCTTCTTTAATTTCTTCAATGATCCATTGCTTGTTCAGTAGTGTGTTGTTTAGTCTCCACATCTTTGTGCCTTTCTCAGCTTTTTTCTTGTAAGTAATTTCTTGCCTTATAGCACTATGATCTGAGAAGATGCTTGTTATTATTTCAATTTTTTTAAATTTGTAGAGGCTTGCCTTGTTTCCCAACATATGGTCTATCCTAGAGAATGTTCCATGTGCGCTTGAGAAGAATGTGTATTCAGCTCCTTCAGGGTGGAATGATCCATACATGTCTATTAAGTCCAATTGTTTTAGTTTTTCGTTCAGCTCCACTATTTCCTTGTTGATTTTCTGTCTGGATGATCTGTCCATTGATGTGAGTGGGGTGTTGAGGTCCCCTACTATTATTATGTTGTTTTTAACATCTTCCTTTAGGTCTGTTAATAGTTGCTTTATGAATCTTGGTGCTCCTGTGTTGGGTGCATAGATATTTATAAGCGTTATTTCTTCTTGATGAAGTGTCCCTTTGATCATTATATATTGTCCCTCTGTGTCTCTCTTTACCTGTCTTATTTTGAAATCCACTTGGTCTGATATGAGAATTGCAACACCTGCCTTTTTTTCCTTGCTATTGGCTTGAAGTATTGTCCTCCACCCCTTCACCCTGAGTCTGTGTTTGTCCTTGGGGCTGAGGTGTGTTTCCTGGAGGCAACAAATTGTTGGGTCTTGTTCTTTAGTCCATTTTGCCACTCTGTGTCTTTTTATTGGAGAGTTCAATCCGTTCACATTGAGAGTGATTATTGATACATGCGGACTTAATGCTGTCAATCTGTCGCTCATTATCTTGTTTTCCTGTGTTTCTTTTCCTATGTGCTTTAGACTATCCATTTAATACTGCAATTTCTTATGCTGGGTTTCTTAGATTTTTCCTTATCTATGATTTGTGACTCTGTTCTGTACTTTATTTTAGTGTCTACCTTGAAGTTTGTATTTAGAATCTCGTGTATAATATAGTCTATTCTCTGGTGGTCTCTTACTTACTCGACCAATACTGATTTAGACCCTTAGATCTTCCCCTCCTAAATCATTATTTTCATTTTTTATTCCAACTCGTCTTATTAATTTGTAGTTAGAGTGCTAAGATCGTCCTTGTTTTGGTAGTTTCCTTATTTTTACCCTAATGCTATAGTTGAATATTTGCTATCCTGTTCTGGTTCTATCCATCGGTCTCCCTAGTCTGTGGATTGTGTCCCCTTTCTCCCTTTTTTCTTTTTTCAAGTATGAGAGCCTTCTTGAGGATTTCTTGTAATGGAGGGCTTTTAGTTACAAATTCCCTTAACTTTTGTTTGTCTGGAAAAGATTTAATTTCTCCCTCATATCTGAAGGAAATTCTTGCTGGATAGAGTATTCGTGGCTGAAGGTTTTTATCCTTTAAAGCTTTGAATATATCACTCCATTCTCTCCTAGCTTGTAGGGTTTCTGTAGAGAAATCCGCTGACAGTCTGATAGGGGCTCCTTTATAGGTTATTCTCTTTTTTTTTGCTTACTTCCCTGAGTATTCTTTCCTTATCATTCCTATTTGCCAACTTTACTATTATGTGCCTTGCGGTGGGTCTTTTTACATTGACAAATCTAGGAGATCTAAAACCCTCCTCTACACACATTTCTCCGTTGATCCCTAGATTTGGGAAGTTCTCTTCAATAATTTCGTTAAGCACACTTTCTGCTCCATTTTCCTTTTCCATATTCTCAGGAATTCCTATGATCCTTATGTTCTTACTCCTCATTGAATCCATTATCTCTCGGAGATTTTCCTCATTTTTTTTAATTCTTAGTTCTCTTTCTTCCTCTGTCTGGCACCATTCAGCCTGTCTGTCCTTGATTATGCTGATTTGCTCCTCTAGGTTGTCTACACGGGCATTCAGGGAATCCGTATTCTGTTTTATCTGGTCCATTGTGTTTTTCATCTCAAGTAATTCTGTTTGATTCTTCTTTATGATTTCAATCTCTTTTGTGAAGTAACTCCAGAACTCGGCTTGTTTCTCTATCTTTCTCTCTACCTCATTGAGTTTTTTGATTATAGCTGCTGTGAATTCATTATCACTTAGTTTACCTAATTCCAAGTCCTCAGGACTTAATTCTGTGTCTTTATTGTTTTCCTTCTGCTCTGGGGCTTTTATAAATTGCTGGATGGTAGAGGAGCGGTTTTTTCTCATGGTGGAATTCAGTTGCAGTTACAGCCTGTTGCCACTAGATGGGGGTCGAGAGCGGCGTGTTAGCTCTCCGCCTTGGGGCAAGATGGCTGCGCCCACTGGCTTTGTTAGGGGGGAGGGGCTGTTACTCACAGGCACTGGTCTGGGTTCAGATCAGTTCTGTTCTCTGGTCTCCCAAGGCCCTTGATTTATGGGGTCCCCGTGGACGGAAGCTTTCCCCCCGTCAGCGGGTCTCCACTGAATCAGCGGCAGGAGTCCTGGATGATCCCCCGGTCGCGGCCCCTCCCCCGCTCCTTCCCTACCCGCGCCGCAGCGATCGCAGACTCCAGGGGAGGGAGCGATGTTCCCTCCTACCGTTCCAGCAGCTCCGAAGGTGTAAAGCTAGGTTTATGATCTCCGCCTTCTTGGTATTGTAGGTCTCTAACGAGCTGGCATTATGTTTATTCTCTGAAATTCAGTTCTTCCAATCTTTTGTTGTATTTTGGAGGGGAGAGAATCCCAGGTCAGCTCACCCCGCCATTTTGCTCCGCCCCTCTCCTCAGGGTTGAATTTTAAAACTTTAATTAAGAATTTAGTTGGGCTGGCCCCATGGCCGAGTGGTTAAGTTCGCATGCTCCACTTTGGCAGCCCCCGGGGTTTCGCCAGTTTGAATCCTGGGCGGGGACGTGGCACCACTCATCAAGCCATGCTGAGGCAGCATCCCACATAGCACTACCAGAAGGACCTACAACTAGAATATACAACTGTGTACTTGGCGGGGCTTTTGGGAGAAGAACAATAAGAAAAAAACATTGGCAACAGATGCTGGCTCTGGTGCTAATCTTTAAAAAAAATTTTAAAAAATAATTTAGAATAAATCAATATCACCTAGAGCACTTTTATTTCTATTAACCCCTTTAACCCTCATAACAATGTTTTGCGAATGGGTCTCTTACAAATGGAAAATTGAGATACAGTTTATAAAATTGTTCCTAAACTTATTAGAGCCAATATTTGTTTTTGTTTTCATGCAATTATAGCACTTCGTCCATTGCATGTGGATGGCCTCCAGTACGAACTATGCAGCTAGGTATTAGATTTTTTTAGGGTATTTTGTCTTTACCAGGTCTTATTTTTCTAATTTGTAAAAGAACTATTTTGAAATCTCAGGATAACTAGTTACTTAATTATATTTTCACTTTTCTACTTTATAAATAGGACACACCATTGGCCCCGGCCTGCAATGTGGGGTGTCCCTGTTCCACAGCAGGTTGTCTTTTGGTGTACCTGAATTTCCAAAACTCTAAGATGGAGGGAGAAGGAGCCATCTGAGCAGCAGGACCACCACCACCATCTGTTAAAAGGATCTAGTATAGAATGGGTCTGTGCTAAATATGGGCATCTGGTCAGGTAAGACAGGAATTCAAGGTCAGAATATGTGATGGAGACTAGCATGATCTGCTCATAACTTCATCCTGATTTGACTCACCAGACCTGAGAAACTGCAGGGCTCTTGTAAGGTGGTTATTGTTCCTGGTTACTGAAAGGAATGCGTCAGAGCCACAGCTTGTCCTGGAAGACCTGGCTAGAGAGATAGCGAGCTGTTGGGAAGAAGTTTAGAACTCTGTCAATGTGGGAGCAATTAACAGGGTCAAGATGTGCTAGGGAAGAGGGGTTGTCACCTTGAAACTCACACATACACACACACGCACACACATACACAGAGTCACCAAAATAACTGACAAGGCAGTTGTACAGCTGCAGCCATGAGTAGATGACCTCTGAAATTTGTTGCTATCCTTGAACAGTATCCCCATGATTCCCAAGTTTGTGTGCATAAGACAAGAACAAAAAAACCATATTATCAATTCTCTGAATATAAACAACTCAATCCTCTGTTTCTCAGATCCATTTAGAATATTTATATTTTTAAAAAAGATAAAAACAATGTTATATGTCAGTTGTATGTAAATAAAACTGTAAAAAAAGGTAAAATAAATCTATTTACAGGGAAATGAGTTGATGGATCAAAATTTAAGAATATTCATTGTAACTTGTAATTTGTAATCTGTAAAAAAAATTAACTTTTCTTTGAAATTCCACAGGAAATTCCGTGACAAAACTATTCCTGAGTAGGTGTTTCTGGTAACATTTTACACTGAAAACTAAACATGTAATAAATTATATGTTGATGACCAAACAATATTAATATTTTTAGGAATGTCTACATTGAACTTTTATTTACTTTGAGAATATGCTACTTTGTCTTTCAGCTTCAACAGAGCTTTCTTCACTTCCTTGTTCCTCAGGGTGTACACCACAGGGTTTAGAAGGGGTGTCAGCACAGTGTAGAAAACTGCCACAACCCCATCCACAGCATTCTTGGAGCTTGGCCTCAGGTAAATGAAAACGCAGGGAACAAAGAAACAAAGGACCACAATGCAGTGGGAAGCGCAGGTCTGAAAGGCTCTGTGTCTCCCCTCTGAGGTGCGGATCTTCAGGATGGAACAGACAATGGAAACATAGGAAAGCGCTATCAGGAGAAAGCAGCCTGAAGCCACTACCCCGATATTGACAAAGATCACCATCTCATTGGCAGAAGTGTCTGCACAGGCCAGTTTCAGGATGGGTGGTGCATCACAAAAGTAGTGCTGGATTTGGTTGGGCCCACAGTAGAGCAAATGGAATGTCAATGTAGTCTGGACAGCAGAATGCAGAGAGCCGCTGAGCCATGTGCTTATGGTCAGGAAGGCACACATTCTCCCATTCATCATGCTGCTGTACCTGAGTGGGTAACTGATGGCCAGGTAGCGGTCATAGGACATGACTGTGTAGAGGAAACACTCGGTGCTCCCCAGGAAGTGGAAAGAGTAGAGCTGGGCCACACAACTGGGGAAAGAGATAGCCTTGCCTCCTGGGGACACCAAGGTCATCAGCATTTTGGGCACAGTAACCGTGGAGAACCACATGTCAATGAAAGATAGGTTGGTCAGGAAGTAGTACATGGGGGTGTGGAGGTGGGAATCCAGTGTGATCACCAGCAGGATGAGAAAGTTCCCCATCACAGTGAACATATAAATGGCCAAGAAGATCCCAAAGAGAGGGATATCCAGCGCTGGTGCATGGGGAAGGCCCATGAGGATGAACCTTGTCACGAGGCTCATGTTTGTCATTTCTCCACACCATTGGTCTCTCTCCCTGTGTGAATATAGGGAACACCCAGCATCTAAAGTGAGAACTGAGATCCCATTTTCTATGTACCAACTGCATCATTCATGGTAGATAATTCTAGAGTTATACTCAACTTTGCCTATTACAAATCTTCTTTGCTAAAGGTGATGGAATGATTTCATCGTCTGTTTCTTTCTCTCTCTATACACACACACACAAATAGAGGCACATACAGATATATGTAAAAGGAAGCAGGAGAAATTCATTGCATTCATTTCTATTGGTGTATGATAAATTACCACAAATTTATCAGTGTTAAACGATTTAAATTTACTCTTGTACAATTTTTCGAGTCAGATCAGCTGGATCCTCTGCTCAAAGTCTCACCAAATTGAAATCAAGCTGTCAGCTGGGTCTGTAATCTCATCTGAGACTCTAGTCTCATCTGAGGCTCAAGATCCTCTTCCAAGCTTATTGAGGTTAGTGGAAAACATTTCCTTGCAGCTTTAGGACTGAGGTCTCTGGTTTCTTGTTGACTGTTGTCAGGGAGCATGGCTATCAGCTTCTAGAATCCACCCTTAAGTCCTAGCCACCTGACCATCTGATAACATGGCAGCTTCCTGCTTCAAAGCGAGAAGAAGTCATCTCTTTCTAGTTTTCTGTGACAAAATGTAATGTAAAATAACATAATCAACAGGGTGATATCCCACCACATTCACAGGCCCAACTCACACTCAAGGGGAGATGATTTAACAAGATGTGTACACCGTGGGCCAGGAATCTTGGGGGGCTATTTGAAAATATTTTCTCTCCAAAGTTCACTGGGAAAATTAAAGAATCAAGAATTCAATTTTTGATATCAAAGAGCACTTCAAAAGTACAGTATATCTAAATAATTCTCTTGTGTCTTCAAATAGAACTTGGCAGCAATCACATCACCTACCTCACTGAGAAGTTATAAGTAAGACACTGCATGTAAACTACTTAGCACAGCGCCTAGGATGTAATAACTGCTCAATAAATGGTAACAAATCATTTAACACTGTGCCTTGTATTAGAGAGTTGCCATATACATATATATATAGTATATATATATAAAGACAGAGAGAGAGAGAAAGATGGATATAAATAAAATCTCTTTGTGCTTTGGAGACATCAATTTCAAAGGTATATCTTTGAAGAAGATTTCGTCTCTGGTACTAGTATGATGTCTCACTACCACCACCACCTGCTTATAAAGGGACTTCTCCCACTTCAATCAAATAAGATTAGAAATCTCAACTCTATAATAGGATCCCTGCAATCTTCCATAGGATCCAGAAACTGCCAAGCCTCTTATACTGCTAGCCTCCTACTCCTCTTACACTAGAACATCCGTAATGAGTCTTTAAGAACATAAAGTTCATGTATGTTCTCCCAACCACAATCCAGTGGGGAGGGGCTGGTTTTCAGACATATATCCTTCTATCCTAGATATATAAATATTTTCTAATATTAGCTTTGTTAGAGAAAATATCTCTCCCCTCATCTTCTGGTCCTCATACTTATAAATCCAAGCAATTCCCTCATAAGAGGAGACAATTCCATCAAATACATGGTTCTTATTTAAAACCTACTACCTGAGACAGGAAAAATGAAACCAATGTAAAAGAAAACGACCTATGTTAGCTTGATGTAAAGAAAAATTGGGATTCTGTGCAACTGAAAATGAGGCAGAAATAATGTTATTGATTTAATCTAAAATACTGTCGAGTTCAGGATGGTTATTAATTGTTCTATGAAATAAGACTATGAAACGGACTCATCAATGTGAGAGAAACAAGAATCTCTGCTCTTCGGAAAGCCCAGACAAAATGTATCCTATCTCCAGGGAATGTGGCTTAGGCTATATTAAAACTATATTTTTCAGATAAGAAAATAAATAACAAAGGATTATCCTAACTACCTACTTGGATATCAGAACTCAAGAAGTGGAACAAATGTATCTCTGAAAGTTCTGCTGCACCAGCAGGATCCCATTACAGCATAATCTCACAAGCAGATTAGATGAAATATGAAAATTTTCATCAGGTGAATTACAAGGTAATCTGAGATTTAAGGCAGGAGTATCAGTCAGAGGTGTCAATGTTTGACTTGTTTGTCCACGCTGTAGCAGCTTAGTTCCTATTTGTAGGCCATCAATCACTAATAGTATGTATATATGGAAGGAGAGAGACTAGATAACCAAATTTAGAAAGAAGTCTAACAATCCCCAAGTATCTCAGCTCTGAATGGAAGTTTAAGAAGGAAAGCAGAGGGAACTAAGAGAAATCTACCTTTAGGAGAACTCACCTTACAATATGTGATTCATTTCAGTGTTAAACTCATTTGTGGGTTTTTCCCCCTCAATATTTATTTTCTACATGCTTTGATGAGGCACCAGTTTGCAAATTATTACTCAAGGAACAGATACATCTGTGATTCCTTGCTGACAAAGAGTTTCATGTCTCCTCAAGGATCCAACTAGTTGAAGTACAGGGAATGGAAACTAACATGGCTGGATGGGTAGGAGCCTAACTTGATTTAGTGTCTCAGGGGAGAGGATTACTCTTGGGTCTTCAGGTCCCTGGATGAGCAGAAAAACAACAGGAAGAGTCTAATGAAAGGTTTTTAATAATCATGCATGTATTTCCCTATGTGTTTGTTATTTGAACCATCTTGAAAAGAGTTCATGTCTTTCTGGAAGTAATATTTACACCTAACAGAGAAGGAGGACTTGGTTACCCTTTTCCCTCACGAGTGATGCAGATAGACTCACAACTGCTTACTTTCAGCTTAAAATTGTCCAGAATCCATAAAAGGTCAACACCTGTTTGCACTCTCCATCTCAATAGCACTCTCTCTTTCATCTTTTAAAGATTGTTTAATACCTTTAAATTTCCAAACATTTTTTATACCTGAATTATAGATGTAACTGTGGTAGTCTGTATGACATTGGTTTAGGTAACTGTATTTTAATGAAAACAAACAAACAAAAGAGGCTAATTATAAAAAATAATGCATTTAATTAAATTGATTGTATTTTAAAATATAAATTTTGTGGCTAATTTTCTTTGATCATATGTAATAAAGCTAGATTTTAAGAATCAGATTATAAGTAGAGAAAACAAAACAGTTGGGAACTTGAACCAATTTCCTATACACAACTTCAGTTAATGAAGTAATTACCAGTATACTCTCTGATTATAAAGAATAAAATAACATCATTATATCATATCTAAAGTAAAATTAGTTCCAGATGAAGTACAGATTTAAATAAAGAGGAAAAAACTGAAAGCACTAAAATATTATGTAAGTATAACCTGGTAACCTTGGGTGTAGGGAAAACCTTCATAACAACTTTTGATGTCAGGTATTGTGAATCTTCAAGTTTTTGTTTCTTCAAGATTATCTGGCCATTTAGAGGGTGCATTCCATTTCGATATTCACTTTAGGGTCCGTGTATCCATATACACAGAGTAAATGTTGGAATTTTATTTAGAATTGCATTGGATCTATAAACAATTTGAGGAGAATTAGAATCTTTAAAATATTGAGTTTCAATCCATGAGCACATTATAATACTCCATTTATTCAACAGCACTTATATATTCCTCAAAAATATTTTGTAATTTATTCTGTTGTGGTGTTATACCTCTTTACTTACATTTGTATCCAGATCAGGGTTTCTCTACCTCAGCACTATTGACATTAGAGGCAAGACAAGTCTTGTGGGGGGCTTCCTGTGCTTTGTGAGATGTTTGGCAGCCTGACCTCTAGCCACTAGATGGCAGTACCTGTGACAATCAACAATTTCTCCAGACATTTCCAAATCATAGTTGAGACCTACTGACCTAGATACTTAATAGATACTTAGTTTTTTATTTTGAGCCTAAATATGCATGAACAAACAAGCATAAATTATAAGTGCATAAGCCACTTTTACGTGTAGTTGTAGATTATACATTCTCATTGCTATATAGTAATCCACCGTGTGTGAATATCCCACAATTTATTTTTCATTCAATTGTTAATAGGCATTTGAATAATTTCCAAATAGTGCTGCAAAAAACTAAAATACATGTTTTGTTTATAGATACATATGCCATATATTATATGTATATATACATATATATGGAATTTTCTTCAGCCAATCTATATATTGTATATTATATGCCTTTCTTTTGGATACACCTTTGGATTTATATATGCACACATATGTGCATTTCTCTCAGATATATACCTAGGAGTAGAATTGCTGTGTCATGGGAAATGCATATGATCAGCTTCAGTAGATACTGCCACACGGTTTTACAGGACTAATTTATTCTCCCAGGAACAGTGCTTGAAATTTCCAGTTGTTCCACGTATGACCATCATTTGGCGTCATCTGCCTTTTTAATTTTAGCCCTTTTAATGGGTGTGAATTGATATCTTACTGTGGTGTCATTTGTATTGTCCTGATGAAAAATGAAGTTGAACATCTTTTAATTACTTAACGGTTTGGGTGCTAATGTGAATGTTATCTTTAAAAAATTTCATTCTTATTTTTTATTCTTTAAATTTATCATTTCTGTTTTCACAAAGCAACAGTAAGAAGTAAGAGGAAAGCTGCAGAGTGGGAGATAATATTTGCAATGCACGTATATTTGACTCAGAAGTTAAAAATAAATTATGCCTACAAACCAATAAAAAATAGAAAGCCCCTCTCAAATGAAAAAATTGGACATAGAATATGGATCATCGCTACACAGAAGACTAATTAAAAAGACTTGAAAAGATGTTTAAGCTCATTACTAGCTAGTGAAATGAAAAATAATATAATAAGTTGCTAATTCATACTCATCTAATTGACAAATAGTGAAAACATATTGCTGGCTTGGGTAAAGGGAAAAACGTCATCTCACATATTGCTGGTATAAATGTGAATAGTTACAATGCCTTCTTTGGGAAAGCACTTCCAAAATAGTTATTGAATTTAGGA